TCACCTCAGCCTCCCAAAGGCGCGGGATTACAGGCTGAGCCACCGAGCCCGGCTCATCCAACTACTTTAAACCACACTAGTGTTTCCATTTTCTCGGCGTAAGCAACTCCCACCACCTACCGCCTGTGCCATTTAACACTTAATCATTTTCTAGTTTTTCATGCATGCTAGTCTTATCTCTCTATTTTGAGGCACTTTGAAAGCAGTGACCATATCTTACCTTTGAATTCCCTATGATACCCAGTGGAGTCCGATACAGGGTAAATACTCTTGGAATATTTGTGGATGGGACGATGGCTCCATGGACTAATGTCATTAGGAAAGGTCCTTCAGTTTACACCTTAGTTGCTTAAGATAACTTAATAATTTGTAAAGAATCCTAACAAATGCTAGCTTTGTCTACCAAAAAGCATTTCTCTTTGGATATTCAAGTCATGTATTTAAAACCGCTCTGACACTAGCATGAAACTTGGTCTAACGTTCATTTATAGTACCCACCTGAAGTCCAGAGAGAGCACTTCTTGACTTAGAGATAAATTACCTGAAATTTTTCTTGCACCTCGGGGAGGGGAACTGGGTTGCTCATTAGGTCACTGAGGCCGGCATTTGGATTATGAGGAATTAGCTTGTACTGTCCTCCTTCTCTCTTCAGATCCAAGCCAAATATGTCCGAGAGAAGGTCACTTTCCTCTGTCAGTTCCTTTAGGTCTGTCAGATCTTCAGAGGGCAGGGCAGTGTCCATGGGTTTCCTCTCTCCTTCCTCTCCATCGCCTCTCACCTCATCCTGAGTGGGGTCTGGCATGTTGGCTAAGAGTTCTGCGACTTTGATCTTTTTAGCACCTTCTACCAGGCTTCCCCCCAGCAGCAGGCTGCAAATGATGCGGAAGAAGCCTCTGGAAACACTGGCCACAAAGTGCAGGAGGGTCATAAAAATACTCCAGTAGGACGAAAAGAAGGCTGTGACCATGTCCTTCATGGTCATTTTTTTCACTTTTTTCATCTGTTTCTTCAGGCTTTTTAGACTGAGCATCCGCATGAGGGTCAAGATATTGTACCTGAGAGCAAACAGCGCCGACTTCACTGTCAGGATGGAAAAGAAGCCCATTCTCGGTCCCTGCTCTTCGGGCCTCTCCTTCTCACTTTCTTCTTTATTCGCTGACCTCTCGTTCAAATCTGACTCTGAGATCTGAGCCGCCAACTGCATTTCAAATATGGTGTCCTCACAGAAGTTCACAAAGAGCTCCATCTTCTCTTTTTCCCCTCCCTCGTTGACCACATCAAATATGAACTGTCTTTTGGACTCCTTGACCTGAGGCTTCTCCCACTGAGTTCGGCTGGACTCACTGATTTCAAAATAAACCCTCTCAATGCGTTTGGCACTTCCCATGATTTCAATGCGGCCCAGAAAGGGCTGGAAATAATTCAGCACACTCTCTGCTAATTCTAGAAAGGTCTGCAGTCGGGTGTCATTGGGCATGTGCTCGGAAAGGTTTGTCAAAAGGACGGCGACATTGAAGCCGATGTCCTTTGCAGGTTCGTGGAATCGTTTAACAAACTCTTCATAGTCAAGGGTTTCATTTTCATCTGTTTCCGCGCAAGACAAAAGAAACTCAGTTTCGGACTGCGTATAGTGCTTGTGGCTCTCCATGGCTTTGTGGAAGTCCCTCTTGGAAATGACTCCCTTGCCATCGGGGTCATATTCTTTAAATGTATCAGAGGATGTCAGATCCTTTAGTTTTAAGAACATGTCAAAAAATTTGAGAATCATCTCTACGTTGTTGGAAGATTCCACAAGCATATCAACCATCTGTTTGCCAATTGTTCCATTGACAACATTACCTGGTGGTAAAGCAATTACATTTGTTTAAAACAAAGTTTCTCAACAAAACCAGTGTCTATAGAGAAAATAACAACATAGATCTTTTATAACATCTTAGTCAAGCATATCTCCTTGTTCATTTCGGGATATGTATGAATCTCAGGAAAAGATGGGTAATTATTTGTAAATGATAGTGAAGAAAGTTGTTACACAGACACATACAAAGTCTTATCTATGAAGTAAGTAGACTGACACACATTAAACCATTTTTACACAAAAGATGACATTGTTTTTCTCAAATTAATCAAAGCAGCAACATGTTTTAGATAAAGACAGTGGGACAAACAGCCAGAAACTGAAATTCAATCTTGTATTACTAATAAAAATGAATATTTTCACAGTCCTTCAGCATTGAAAAATCCTAGACAATACCTGATTTAATATTCATATGTCTGTAAGGCATATTCACATTTTATTAACCCTGACTTCACAAATGAGGTTGAACAAGGCTAAATTATCATGCCTACTGTGATATAATTATTAAAGGTTAATGTCAGGACGTCAGACCAGATTCTCTGATAGCAAATTATATGCTCTTTCCGATTTATAATGAAAAGCACTTTTCTACATTTCTTTGTGATCCAGAGTGCTTATAATTAGAAAATAGCAGATTACTGACAAGCTTGCGAAAATTAGATGTTATCCTGAACTACAGAGTAATAGAATGTGCTTATTCCTTGAACAGAATGTGCCATGTGACGTAACAACAGACAGTAGGAGAAAGGTCCCTGGCCAGAGGTCTGTAGAGTTTATCTGTAAAGCAGTAAACGCCGTGGGTTAAAAGTACTGGGTGTGGATCCAAGTTCCATGAGTTCAGGCAGCCAAACAACCTGGGAAGGTTTCTTAGCCTCTCTGACCCTCAGTTACCTTATTTGAAAAAGGGAGAAAATGACATGATCAAACTCATAAGTTTATTATTAGGATGAATAAGTACTTAATCCAGTATCTGGCACATTATAAGAGGTTCGTTGTAAGTTATTGCTGCTGAAGCTATTCTCGTTGCTGTTATTATTTAAACCCGGTCATGGTAAATGGATCCTGTGCTTGGACGGTATAAAGTGGCTCCTATTGAGCCAACTATGGGGATTTTAAGTAGCTTTAAAGTCTTAGCACGAGGCATAACAACTGCCTCGGTCAATCACAGTGGAGTTAAGCAATGTATAGTGAACCAAGAAGCAGAGAGAAAGACAGACAGACAGAGGCAGACAGAGGCACAGAAAATGGGAAAGATTTAAGAAAAAATAGTTGGTATCATAATAACAAACATTTCCTAGTTGCTTTGGTTATATTTACAGGATTTCACTGAACTCTCACATCAATCTATATTATCTCCGGTTTTTAGGGTCACGTCTCCAGGAAGTGGGGAAGACAGGACTTGAACCCTGGGGCAGATTTCTGAGCCTAAGCACCTAACCACTACATTTACTGCCTGTTACAGAAAAGAAATGCAATAGCAGGGAAAGATAAGTTTAGAAGAAAAAAGTGAGAGAGTAAAAACAGGCTGTGGTGGGAAGAACAAGACTGCCACTGACAGCTGCCCTGGGGGGCTGAGGCTCTCCCTACAGCAATCTTGTTTTCAGTCCTGCCAGGACTTTAAGGAGCCACAGGAGTGACTAAGAGATCTTCTCAAAGCAGTAGTTTACACAGTTGGAGTTTATCCAAATGTCTGCAATCTCCAGTGATTATAGACAGACAGAATCTTTATATACTATCAAGTCTGGAGAGATGATTTTTAAGGATATCACTATGAAATAAAAAGTGTTGTTATAAAAGTACTGCTGTTTTCATTTCCTAGATATGTCAACTGAGATATGCAGGATTTTTCTTTTTAAAAATCCTAACTTGAGAAAAAGTGTAACGAAGCCAGCAATGGATCCAATATATCCATCTCATCCTAGTGTTATTTCATTCCTTGTTACATGCTGACTCCATAAGCAAGCACACATTGATCCTTTAAATAAAAGAATAAAGGGAATTTGAAAGTGTAAGTCAAAGCTACCTTCCAACATAGACAGCAACATGACCACCATATCCTTCTGCAGATCCATTAATTCTTTTAATAATTCGATTTGACTGGAATCCTGAAAATATTAACAAATTGCATTTGAGATAATATGAGAAAACCATGCAGCAAAACATCCTACTTATTCTCACAAAAAGCATTAAGCACTTTGAAGCATTCTAGAACTAAAGGAAGGCCAAATATTAAAAACAGAAATATTTCAGAATTAAAGGGTATTTGTTATTGATTTCAACTCATGTTCATTAAAGTACTTGTATGGACTACAAACATTTCTAACGAGAATCTAGAAGAACAATAGAAGCTATGAATTCTCAAACGCCAGGCAAGACTCAGGTGCGTCTGCACATTTGACATCTATCTTGACTTGAAATGCCCACATTTTTTCTTCTTTGTAACTTTTTTACATAAAGTTATCTATTATGTAAAAATCTTATTCTATAAAAATAAAGGCATATAAGTGACATACGAGATAAACTTATACAAACCTCACCAAAAATGTACACAAGCATTACTTATACTAATACAGCACTGCGCCATGTATCTTATTCACCAGTTTCACTAAGCTTTTCAATATTCCTCTGGTTAAAATTTTGGTTTTTTGCTTTTGATTTTTTTTTATCATGAAAACAATTCTATTACATAGACACGTTGTGTCTAAACATCACTATGCCTAGATCTGGTGCCCGGAAACATGGGTCATAGTATATTTATAGAACAACCTTATATCTCATTACATTTTCTTTTTATTTAAACTATTTTTTCAGAGTTGGGTCTCAGTGTTGCCCAGGCTGGAGTGCAGTGGCATGACTGTGGCTCACTGCAGCCTTGACCTCCCAAGTAGCTGAGACTACAGGCACACACCTCCACTCCTGTCTAATGTTTTAATTTTTTTGTTGTTGTTGTTGGAGACAAGGTCTTGCTATGTTGCCTAGCCTATTCTCAAGCAATCTCCCATCTCGGCCTCCCAAAATGCTAGGAGTATAGGCAAGAGCCACCTCGCTCAGCCAAAGTATCCTTTTAAAAAATAAATGAGCCGGGCTCGGTGGCTCAGCCTGTCATCCCGCGCCTTGGGAGGCTGAGGTGAGTGGATTGCCTGAGCCCGCGGGTTCGAGACCCGCCTGGGCAGCGAGACCTCATCTCTACAATAAATCAAAAAATCAGCCAGGCGTGGTAGCGCATGCCTGTAATTCCGGCTACTTGGAAGGCTGAGGCGGAAGGATCGCTGGAGCCCAGCAGGTCGAGGCTGCAGTGGCCGGGAGCGGCCACTGCACTCCAGTCTGGGCGACAGAGTGAGACTCCGACTCAAAAAATAAAATAAAATAAAAACTCAAGGCTGCCAAAAAATGTACTGTTCCAGACATCACCTGAGGATACGGTCTCTGTCTCCCAGTCTCTGGTGAAGGTTAGAATCCTAACTTTCATAACTGCCAGCCAGCACACACAGCTGGCCTAATCACATTTATAACCAATGAAAACTTGGTAACTTTTCACTCCCCTGACTTTGATGAGCCCCTGCTTACCCCTCTCTAACCTGGTATTCTATCTCCCTTTAGAATGCCCAGTCATCTCTGTACAAATCAAAGCTCAGTTCAGTTCTCGCTGGACTCTCTGCCCTGTTGCCATAGTAGTACTGACTAAAATCTGTTTTCACCACTTTAGTATGGAGCTTTGTTCACCTTTGACAACTCACTCCTGCTTGTAGGCCAGGAGGCAGATTTGAGCATCCTTACTTTACTGTAAAGGAAACAAGGCCTCAGGGGAGAAGGAACTGGCCCATACGCATGGGGCAAGTAAACCAGGGGATCGAAAACCAGGGGAGCGAAATGGCAGTATTCTGTCTTTAAATCTAACATTCTTTCTTCTACCTGACTACCTGGGCAAATAACCAAGCGCTGACAGGTATGCCAGATATCAGAATATACCATTAAGATTCATTGCATCAAAGGGACGCATTTACTTCAGATTTATACAAAGAACTTTTCTATTTATGTGTCTTTTAATTTAAAATGAAATAGGTACAGTTCATGAGAAAACAACATGCTGATGTTTTCAATAGGCATTCTCAAGTTAACATTAAAACATGGTGGAAAATCTGTTTATTCTTTATTTGCCTGTTTTTAATAGCTATTATTTTCTCTGACTTTCACAATGTTAAATTTCCTGGTAATGGGTAAACATCAACCTACTGAGAACAGCTGCTTGTTTATGACCCTATAACAAAATGGCCTCCCTTTAACAAGAGATGTGTAACAGGTCACAAATCCCATTTCAATTATTGATAAGGGGGAGGAAAATTCCAGCAAGCAATTACCAGAAAGTGCATCTATGAGGATCGTGAAATGTACAATGCTAGAGGTCTCCACTGTTTCATTTCTCTATTACATTCAATTTCTTAACACCCTCTATTCTCAAATTTGAATAATGACTGTCATCTAGTCTCAGCCTGCATAAAGTTTTTTCATTTAAAACTTTTTAAAAATGTAGAGTAAAACATATGATAAAGTGATCCAAACATAGAATGTTCACATATAAGAAGGTATGTTTAATTTGTAGATGGCGACAGTCTCCAGTTTGTCCTTTAGGACTGTGGAAGGTAATTGATTTACCTGCGACAGCTTCATCTGCATGTGGGCAAATACGTGAAGAAAGCCCACCACGGCATCCCACAGCCGGCTGTGTGCCAAACTTTGCTGATTTCCAGTGCAAGGACCCTGGAGCATAAACAGACAAAGAGCAGTTACTGCTGATCTATTATTTGCCAGAATGAACTGTGCAATAACTGGGGAAAAATTAACTCAGTGTTGATGTATCTTATTGCAGCATGTTATCTAAAAAGATAGTAATGCAAAGTGAAAGAAAGACATGCAGTCTCGATAATTGTACCCTTAAGAGATAAGCATGTTCTTCTTTGAAATGTTTTTTAAAAATCCCCCAAAAATATTTCTCAAGGATTTTGATATTCTGTGAATCATTCTGTTTTTGTCTGGCTTTGATCTCTTCTATGTAGAGGAAGTGATAGGATCCAGGTGTTTTGGCTATTGAGTCAAATCCATCACTAGTCACTATCCTGTATTGAAAAGAATCTGAGAATATGCATAAGAGGAGAGGTGACCACCTCTTATCCCTAAACAGTAATCTGAACAAAGATTCACATGAAGAAAAAAAATCCTCTTTGACATTTTTCTAATTTTACAGCTGTTTTAGAGATGACATTTATAAAAGATTAACGCTTGATTATCAATTTCATGAACCTAGAATTTAAGGCAATTTGGAACTTGCTAAAATAATTAATTGCGAGGCCATGAGGCTGAGATGTCTCTAGTGTCTCAGGTTCATGCATAAACAAACCAAAAGCCAACTCAGTGTAAACTTAAGTTTAACCAACCAAGAACCACCAACTGACTTCTGGCTAGAGACTTTACTAGTCAGGAACTGCCAACTAACTAGGGACTTTCCACCTTAAGCAATCAAAATTTTTTTTTGTTTTCCTCCCACACACACCTTACAAAAGCTTCTCCCCGTCCTGTTCCCTTGATGGAGTACTAAGTCACCTGTGTACCTGTGTACTGGTACTGATTCATGAACAGTTGAATGCTCAAATAAACTCGTTACAATTTGAATACACTCAAGTTTATCTTTTAACAAACTTAATTTTGCTCTCTTAGCTTACATTCTTTTTTTTTTTTTTTTTTTTTTTAGAAAGCAGGATTTATTGAGAGGACAGAAAAGCTCCCACAGTGGGAGGGGGCCTGGAGGGGTTACCCCAGCTTATACTTCTAAAGTGATCTTTATCTGGCTCTAGAGAATGTGTTGTAACACGCAGAATGTCTTGATAGGCTATTTCTACTTTTACTTTCCAAGGAAAAATTCTACAATCATTTTGTTTTCTCAACACATGCCCATCAATCATGAAAATAAGTAACAGGAATTTTACTTAGAAAGTCCATAAAATGTCGTTCAGCACTTCTAATTCATTCATTCCTTTAGACAACTGATTCATAAGTTTAAATTAGAGGACACATTAAGTCATTTCAGATTTTGCTCTAGAAATAAGTGATTAGAAGAGATGATCCGATTGAAGATACTAACAAAATGTTGAACTAGAGCTTTGTCCTACCTCAACTTCTTTGGAGGCTCTAAACCTAAGAGTAAGACAGTAAGTAAGTACCCAGTACTTACATATTACCAAAGCAAGGTGCTAGACTCAATACCTGCAAAAAGGGTGACTAAAAGTAGATCTTACCACCCTAAGGACATAAAGAGGCTAAAGTTGAAAAGGGAGAGAGCTCTGCATGTTGAACATCTTCACCTACCAACCCTACTGCCCTGGGAAAACAGAGGGGCTACTTCTGCATCCCCTTTCACCAAGTAAGCGAGGAGGCTTTAGCTGGGCTCGGTGGCTCAGCCTGTAATCCTGTGCTTTGGGAGGCCGAGGTGAGTGGATTGCCTGAGCCCGTGGGTTCGAGGCCTGCCTGGGCAACTTAGAGAGACCTCATCTCTACAATAAATTAAAAAAATCAGCCAGGCGTGGTAGCGCGTGCCTGTAATCCTAGCTACTCGGAAGGCTGGGGCGGAAAGATCGCCGGAGCCCAGCAGGTCGAGGCTGCGGTGGCCAGGAGCGGCCACTGCACTCCAGTCTGGGCGACAGAGAGAGACAATAACTCAAGAACCAAAAAAAACAAAAAAACAAAAAAGAAAAAGAGAGGAGGCTTCAGGAGAAACAGCTTGTCAGTTTGGCTTCTGTCTCCTGAAGTTTGACAGTATAAGTCTAGTATTACAAAGTGTGATAGCATGTGACAAGGAAGACACGTGTTTCCTATATGGGCTACTCAGGAAGGGGTCACTCTGCCACATCTGAAATCTTGCCCAACAAGACTGTGTGAAATGGTAGTACAATCCCAAGGTAGGCTGGGCTCAGTGGCTCAGCCTGTAATCCCAGCACTTTGGGAGACCGAGGCAAGACCTGCCCGGGCAACTTGGTAAGACTACGTCTATACAATAAAATAAAATTTTAAAAAATTAGCTGGGTGTGGTAGTATGCGCCTGTAGTTTCAGCTACTTGGGAGGCTGAGGCAGAAGGATCGCTGGAGCCCAGCAGGTCAACGCTGGGGTGGCCATGAGCATGCCACTGCACTCCAGCCTGAGCGATGGAGTGCAACTCCAGCTCAAAAATAAATAAATTAATAAAACTGAAAGAAAACAATAATTCCAAGGTGGACGGGGGTGACCAAGATGCACAAAGTCTATGGAAACAATTTTAAACTGGGTGGGAACAGAGTCATTTCCAGGCACTGGAACAGTAAAAGGGCCAAGCTCCCTCCTTAGAGAAAGAATACAACGTGCCACACCAAAGGGCCAGCTCCATGGTGCAAAGGGCCAGCACCATGGTGGGATTACATGTGCCCTGGAGGAGACCTTTCCCTCTTGTATTCCTCCTCCCTCCTACAGTTTCAACCCTGAGAAAGCTTGAAGCGATCTAGGAGGGGAAGGAGAAAGAGAAGAACATTGAGGGGAGAAAGTAGAAAAGCCCAGATTGGACTCTTTCCCAAACGGGACTTCGTTTAGATGGGACTCCTTGCCTCTATCCCATCCCAAGGCTTTCCAACACAAAACCAGGCCCAAGGGTGAGAGGAGATTTTAAGTTGGATAAAAGTTAATTCTACTATTACTGAAATGAGCCTATTCTTGTGACAATAACTGCAGGGCTTTTATTTATCTGAGAGAGGGTAGTACACAAGATTCATCCAAGAAGTGGTAAAGAAATGGTCCACAGAGCAAGTCCGAAGGGACAGTTGTGAGAAGGAATCAGGCTATTTTAATCTGTAGGTTATCAAATTCAGCTCATTCAGTGTTACCAGATGTAGTAGTTTTAAAGCTTTCTTCGTGCCTGGTTGTAGTCCCATCTGGCTATGATAACTCTGGTCCCTGAAAAATGGATCTTTAGGATTTCATTGAAGTCCAGCATTGGCTGGTGCTCCATGGTGCAAATATCAGGGAGAGGGAAAAGCACAGAAGGACGCAAGGTAGATACTAGAATGTCATTTCAAAGAAAATAAACTTACTTTTTTTAAAGTCAGAAATTATTTTCTTCATGTGATAGTTAGGATTTTAATCAAAAGTTAAAGTGTTATAAAGGGGTAAGATTTTCTACAACCCCTAGGGACTAAGCATTGTTTTGACAACCCTTTCATAAGGGAGTTGCTAAGCCCGGCCTGAAGTGTCCATTTTCCTTCTAAACCAGAAGCACACAGAATGAACTCTCCAAGACTTGCTCGACCTTAGGCCACTGCCTTCTGAGAAACGTAAACTAATCTGAAGGGAACATCTGCATAGTTTCTTGCTTTGCTTTCCTCTTTCTCGTTATGTGTGTGTCTGTACCTTGTAAGATCTTTGCCAGAAGGCAGGATGGTCTTACTTTCAGATGGACCTGTGTCAGGGTCAGACAACGCTTTGTCTTTTCTCACCAATTACCTCATGGTCTTAACTCCTGGAACCTCAAAAATACAACATCCTCTTACTCAAACAATTCTTGTTCCCCTTTATTAAAATTGGCATTGCGGCCGGGCATGGTGGCTCATGCCTGAAATCCCAGCACTTTGGGAGACTAAGGTGGGAAAAATCACTTGAGCTCAGGAGTTCGAGACCAGACCACCAACAAAATGAGACCTCGTCTCTATAAAAATAAAAATAAAAATAAATTAGTTGGGCGTGGCGGCACACTCCTGTAATCTCAGCTACTCAGGAGGCTGAGGTGAGAGGATCACCTGAGCCTAGGACGTTGAGGCTGTGGTGACCTGTGATCATGCCACTGAACTCTAGCTTGGGTCTCTGATGACATGAGACTGGACTCAAAAACAAAAACAAACAAACAAATCTAGCATTGCAATCTTATAGGTAATTCCCTTTATATCAATGGTTTTGGATTTCCCCCTTATATAATTCTCTATATTTAGCAAAAAATTGAATAAAAAACAACATGCAATGCTGTAATCTAAAAGGCAGTCCAAAAAAAAAAAAAAAAGGTATGAAGCTAATGATGACCTTTTATTCACAGTATCAATATTTATCAGTAAATATGTCACTAAGACAAGCTTTCCTAAAATGTATTTCACTAAATGCAAAGTGGTAATTTGGATTGGATCTTAGAATAAAAAAAAGGACATTAATGGAAAAATGGGTAAAATCAGAACAAAGCTTATAATTTGATTAGCAGGATGTGCCAATGTTAATTTCTTAGTTTTGACAAATGTACCATGGTTATATAAAATGTCAACATTAGGGAAATCTGGTTGAATCATATATAGAAGCACTCTTTACTATCTTTGCAACTTTTCTGAAAATCTACAATTACTCTAAAATATAATATATACTTATTAAAATATACTTCTGAAATGATTAAGTTACATAAAAATATGTCACATAAACAGGGAGTAACAAGATAAGTTAAAATAAACAAAGCACAGAAAGCCATGTGACTTTACCTGCTAGCCTTTGAACATTTAGAAATCGGTGTTCTATGACAACATCTAATAAAGAGTTTTAAATATATAGCAAGGGCTTAATGGATGCTTCTAGCTTTAGATACATTCAGGAATCTCACTTATTTTAGGAACCAAGAAATGCCTACTCTTGGCTGAAAAAGCATTTAAGTTTTATTTGGGATATATAAACAACTTTACTATTTCTACAAAATTCACTAGCTTGCAATGTCATCAATTTTTTTCCCTTCCTCCCTTCCTTCTTTCTTTTCTTTCCTTCTTGGGTAAGAGTCTCATGGCAGCCTGGACCTCCTGGGCTCAGGTAATCCTTCCATCTCAGCCTCGCAAGTAGCTGGGACTGTGCCCAGCTAATTTTTTGGTCTTTTTAGAGAGGCCAGGTCTCACTGTGTTGTCTAGCCTGGTCTTGAACTCCTAGGCTCAAGCAATCTTCCCATCTTGGTCTCCCAAAAGACAGGGATTATACATGTGACACTGCGCCTGGCCCACTCTTATTATTTAATCGGAACGGCACACATGAGCATTATTGTGCTGACCTCATTCTAGACATGGATACAAATACTAAAGCAATAATGGAAGCCAGGGGAGATAAGGAAACAGGAAATATGAGTAGGCTAAAACTGTCTTAAGCTTTCACTTTTATATGATTTGAAAGAAAATTAGATTATCCAGTGTGATTTTTCCATCCTGAAATACTGAAATATGTTTCCCCTTCCACCAAGGGAGAAAATTATACAAAAAAATGAGAGCTTCCCAAGGTACTAAACACAGAAGAGACAGCCTGGAGGAGGTCCTCCTAACTCAGCATCACTTACCCTTGGCTGGCTTCACCTGGCCATGAGTCATTCATTCACTCAAACACCTGTAACTATTCCAGGCTCTGGGGGATACAGTCTGCCTTTTTTTTTTTTTTTAAATTTAACTTTTCTTCTCTCCACAAGCTTATGTTTAGTCTAACAAAACAAACTATAAGTTTCTTCCTCTGGTTTTACCCTTAGCACAAGGCATATCAAACGTAGGTAATATTGGCCACTGAGACAAAAGAAAGAAAAGAAAGATGACTGGTCTTCAATGAAAGAGCAAACTTTTGCTGGTTGAAAAACCCAGACTTTTAAAAAACCTTTAAAAAAATCTGAGTTTAAACCTAAAGAGAATATTAAATACATCACTGTTTAAAAGAGGAATATTCTTCATAGTATTTAGAATGTTATCTATAACACGTACGTACACGTAATAATGAGGTTTTAGAAGACTATTCTCTTTCTTATTAATTTTCTAAGAAACTTCTTCTTCAGTTTGATTGGAATACAATCAAGCAGCTTAGTGTTCCGCCTTTTCTCCTTCCCTTTCTCTCTCCTTTCCTTACTTAATATTTATTGGGTGCTTAATATATGTATATACCAAGCACTGGAGGTACAATAATGCTAACATCATAGTTCATGCCTCTAAGGAGTTAATGATGTCTCAATCTGCACTTACATTCCATGTAAATTCACATCTCAACCCAATTTTTCATTGTGGTAATTGGTTAGAAATGCTGAAAGGGTCAGTAGGAGACATGGAAAGTACCTTAGGCATGTTGCATTTTGCTCATTTTTCTTTTTCTTTCTTGAAATAGCAGAAATGCGTAACTGTTTACCTGAATATACTCTGTAAGAGTGTTAAAGACTTGTTTTGCTACTTGAATAGCTTTGGAGAAATTCCGTTGTCCTTGTTCATCGATAACATCTTTTCCAGAGTAATACCAATAGAAGTCACTAATTGATTCCTGAAAATAGAGAGGATATTATTAAGTCACATTATAAAGTTATCACTGACTATCCGATCTTAAACTCTATACTAGACAAGTATTCGAAAGAATAGATATGGTGACAAACAAAAAAATCTGTGAAGCAAATACCAATCTTCAATGATTTTCCTAAACACACAGTGTGGCAACCACCTACTTAGATATAAATAACAACTGAAGAGAAGACAAGGAGCACAAGGAGTCTTAAAAATTACTTTTTGTCTCTGATGATCTTGAACTTCACAAAGGAATCATTATGACTAATACATATTCGTTCACGGAGCAAAGTTAGACATTTGCTATGTAAGCACAGAAATTAGACAAATAATGAACAACATCTTTTGGGTTACAGATGTCTGGCTCCTTTGTCTCCAAAAAAGCCAATAATATTTCATCAGTGAGAACTCCATAATGTCCCTTGTTCTTGTAGCTGCCCCTGAAGAAACTGGTTCGACTGCCTGTAAATACTAAAAAGTGTAAATATTTAAATGTAATGCAATTTAATTTTCCAAATAAAGTGTTTTTGACAGAATTTACATTTTGAAGAAAATTTAGTTAGCTAAATGAATAGTATGATTTAGTTCAGCATGTGAACTATATTTGGATTTTGAGATATTTAAAAAATCATGGACATGCTTTCAACAATACTTGCTTTCACCTACTCAGAGATTAAAGAAAAAATGGAAAGTTTGAATTTACAGTTTTTAAAATACTCTGCCCGGCCTCTCTTATAAATAAAATGAAGATGATAAAAGCCGTATAGGGCTCTTATTATTTAAGAGGTCTACGTCTTCAATTCAGCTTGATAAATATGTTAAATATTACTCCAATATCAGAGAGGTTTTTAAGCAATGATGTATTAAGCGGAATTTTAAAATGTATGCAAATACTAGGCCAGTTGAAAAAAGCAAACCTTAGGCTATCAAATTTTCTTTCCTATTCCTACGAATGTTTCAAATATTCTTCCTCATTTTTTTCTGTCAGCTGCAGAAGGAGCAGAGTATATAAGTGCTTTATAAAATAAAAATGAATTTAAAATCTCATCAAGCTAAAAAACAGAGGGAAAAAAAAATCCCCACTTATAAAAAGACAAAAAAATGAGTCAAGCAGGAGCCAGGACCAGCAGCAGAGAGAACAGTGGCAGTTTTGCTGAAAGACTGTGATCAGAGACAAAATTCTATCTAGTCACAAACATCAAAACATGTCAGTTTAACAACTCTGCCATATTATTTCAACTTACCAGCCCTTTTAATTTGTTACTAATGTGGAAGACAACGCACCTGCACTCTCAGTAGGTAGTCTACCGTGGAGATGATTATGTTGACAGTTGTATTATTGCCAGTCTGAGTTCTCAGATAATTTTGAAAGTCTATGTAAGATCAAAAAATGTTATTAAAGCTTATTGAAAAGTTTAAAAAGAGTTATTCTAATAACTTCAAAAGCAAATGATGTTTTCTATAGTAAAAATAATTGTAGCTAATGGTAGTGTTTTATCTGAGTTTCAGTATGACTGTCATTTATCTTTTCCATAAACAGGCGAGTGATCACCCCAAAAACACATCTAGTTGCTTCACAGAATATCAGTATTCAATTGATATCCTAAAACATTGCTAACATCTGTTTCCTTATTCCTAGTTCTAGAGCTCTGGGCATGTGAATGACTGAAAAGGGTTGCCATCTTGGAGGATATTTATTTATTCAGTGATCATTTGTTCCTCAGTACCGTGCAGACTGTTGAAGAAGCAAAGATAAAATTTAGAGTTCCTGCCTTCACGGATCCACAAAACTAGTGGAGAGCAAGATATATAAATAACTGATGAACATACATTACGTTGAGTAACACAATGAAGCATGTATATTTCCCCAAGGTAAAGTGGTACAAAATATAGTTCTATATGACTCTATAGATATCTACCTAATCTATATATTTTTTTTGCCTATCACCTGTCTTCTCTAACATAAGAAAAATTGCTAAGACTCAAGAGAAATGGCTACCCAAGGACTCTGGAAGCAGCAAAGCAATATATGAAATGTCACTGTGCCCAATGCAGAGTAATGCTCAAGAACTTGTTGACTCCAGACAAGATGCATAATTGGAAGTAATAGACTCCTGTCACTACTGGCTTGAAAACATTTACTTCTTGCTACCATCTGATGGTCTAGTGGTTCACAAACCTGAGTTGTGTCCCTCACAAAGTAGTTGCAGAAATCGGAAGAGGTCACAGGTGAACTCATCATCCTGCAGAACCTTTTCTCCTGCGGGAAGTCCAGAGGGATCACACATTACCAACCACCCCAGCCTGCCCCTCCCTTTCTAGCCCCACCCTAATACAACTTGCATGTTGATCTAGCATTGTTCAGAACCAAAAACAGTCACATTTCATAGCCACTTTTCTATCTGAAGCTCATAAGAGCATGCGCTTGGCAGATAGATGTACTTTTTCTTTGTAAGAAAAGAACATTTCAATTTTAAAACTTAGATTTCTCTCTGTTAAAAGTAGCAGCATGGGTTTGGCAACATTTTACAAATAACCTAAAGGTTTAAATATTTCTTTTTCCTTTCTTTTTTTGGAAAGATATGTATAGAAATGATCTCTGCATCTATTCAAATGTTAAATTGCTTTTTACCCAGAGTTTGATCAAATGATTCAAGCAAAGCATTCATATATCCATAAAACAGGGCCAAGAGTTTCTATTATTTAAAAAAATTACGGTTTTTGTGAAAACTGTAAATCACTAGAACATGTTTATTAACTTGTTTTAATTAACTCACTCATCAGCTTGTCTACTGACAAAAAGAAAAAAAGGAAAAAAGAAAGACATCTGAAATCTGGACTACAGACAAAATTGGTTGGAGCATTACTTCCAGGGAAGGAGAAACTGGCAAACAAACTTAATTTTAAATATCAAACCAAAAGAAAGACTTTGGTGGTTCATGCTGTGAGAGTTAAACCTAACAAAGAAAGGTGATAAAAGGACATTCCCTAGTCATAGAAGCAACTCTGTATCATCAAACACAAAACAAAATTTGTTGGGCAAGGATGAAGTCTCAAAAAGGGCACAGTTTATCTATACTTCAACTTAAATGTACCTTGATCACAAGTGACTTTGAAAACAAAAACACAAGGAAAGAAACAAACACAAAACAGCACCACACAAATGAAAGTTGATTTTTGAAACATTAAAGTGTCTGTGGAAAAAAAATGTTCAACATTATAAACGTCCGCTCCAGAATGTCAATTTGTTTAGAAAGCAAAATGACGGAAAAAAAAAAAAAAATGTGGCCAGTTAATGAATGATTGTACTTATGTAGTTTTTAAAAACAATAACTTTTCACAGACTGGAAATACTTTGGGCTGAGAAAGAAAACTATGCAATGATCATGTGTTTTCTTTAACTAAAATTATGAATGATCATGAAAGAGAGCTGATGGACTTACCAGTCCGCAGTCTGTGACTTTCAAAGTGAGAGGCTTCATATAATGGTAGGGTTAGGAAGCAAAACCATTTTGAAAACTAATATAAACATTTTAAAAAGTACATAAAATCACTGTACTCGTTTCCCTGTTAGCCCGCAAGATATGAAATTTGGTGGCCAAGCTAAAATCACCAAGTATACAAATCAGACGTTGTGGCAAGTTTAAGTATTAAAGGCACATTGTTTTGGATCTCCGTACATGGCTGATAAGTCCATTCCTCAGTGTTTAAGTTAATGACAAAATAGGAACGAAAGGGAGAACAACAGTTCAGGCTAACTAACCAAATTCTCCATCAATGATACTTGGTATTATTTTTTGCATCATTTTAATCAGAAGAGTCTTTAAAATGATATTGAAAATATAATGAGCTAGTTATATAGACTTATTGATTCTTTCCCTGTGATCACATCTACAATGATTTTTTTTTCAAAAAATCAAATCAATAAACCATGTACATACTTTCAATATTCATATATTCATGTGGAATAAATAACCCTTACTAGAAAGTATTCAGAAAAGTTAACACTGAAATAAATATTATATCGTCTACCCGTGTGCCTAAAAGTTGTCTAAATAATGTATAACGATTGCTCACATAACGTTTTAATTATTGTTGGCATGCATAATATTTTGACTGTATACCAAAACACAAACAAGTAACTTCACTCACGTAAGGACACACCACACAGCAGAACACTGGGGAAGGGGAGGGAGGAAAGCAAGAGGGGAATGGGTCTAGCCTTCATTTACCATCAGTTGATCCCAGGTGTAAACTGAGGTGCTATTGCTTCACGAACACACTCTATCTGATTAAAATGCTGCCATTGCCCATGCTGCGAATAAGTGGTACAGTCACAGAGATGGATGATGGCTTTATGTCTGCCGAAGGTACAGGATCAAAAGTCTGTTTTGTGATGTATGCAAAACAAATTCTATTGCAAGATGGAAACTAAGATGAATAACAAATAAAATGGAGCAACGTGTAGTTGAAAGTGCTCTTACATTTAAAATAGTATTTTTACATTTAAAATGGTATTTGTAATTGCTGCATGAGGGCTCGATGTTACATGGTGAAGGGTATCCCTTTGGCCTCATTTTTATAAGAGGCCTATGATTTCTAATACTGTAATAAAGGGAGAGTTACTTCAGTATCATTGCTACTGATGAGTTTGTTCTTTGCCCTTAGTTTTCGCCATCTATAAAGTGAGGATAACATGGGCCCTGTTTATGTCACAGGCTCTTCATAACCTGTAATAACTATTATAAATTGTGAAAGGATTAATATGCTTGGTACAGTGGCAATAACATGAAATAAAGATGGAAACAGCATGCCCAACTGATATATTTGAGTGTATTTATTAATTGTATTTATATTTTCTGGAAGTCATCTTAATTCAAATGGACCATGGTGTTCTCAAAATTGTACATTTTCAGTTGGGAATAATCTAAATGACTATTTATTCAAGCTAAAAGTGAAACAATAAGTCTTTTATTTCTTTCTATCTATCTATCTATCTATCTATCTATCTATCTATCTATCTATCTACCTACCTACCTACCTACCTATCTACCTACCTTACCTACCTATCTACCTATCAATTTATTTTAGAGACAGGTTCTTGCTCTGCTGCCCAGGCTGGAGTGGTGCAGTCTCGACTTCCTAGGCTCAAGTGATTCTCCCACCTCAGCCTCCAGAGTAGCTGATACTACAGGCTACCACATCCAGCTGGTTCCTATTTTAGGACTGTGACTTCTAATAAGGTTAATATACTTTTAAAGGCTGTACTACTTAAATTGGTTTAGTCAATTAATAGAAAAGCACACAAGGGTCTGCTAAAGTTGAATAAAACAACTTTGCATGTGTATATGTCTTGTAGTTACTTAGAATGTCCATGGATATAGCTTGAAGTTTTCAGCCTGTTCTCCAAAGCTTAGTTTGTTAATAAATTATTAACAATATCATTGTTAATTTTTAAAAATAATAAATATTTAATGAAATAAATAAAAAGACTACCTAGCATGTATTTTAAAATAATTGAATTAGGATAGACTCTACAACACTAAAATTCCCATTCTTGTAAGGTCTTGTCATATCAATATCTACAACAGAAAGATAAAAGGGTGAGTATTGGAGCACAGAACTAGCCACATCAAATAATCTATTGTTAAATGTTACTCAAAAGCACCTCACTACCATGGAGGAAATTATTCCAATTACTGATCTTGAGAGGACTTAAATATCTATTTTACATAATGCCAAAACTGAAAATTAATGCTAAAGAAATTTTAAATGGAGAAAAGTCAGGTATTGCATTCCACGTAGGTAGTTTTAATACTGCTGTTTAAATGGCTTAAATATAACTTCTTCAATTATATTACAAGTCAACTATCAAAAAATAAATAAGAATGGATTTATATTTAACAGTCATTACAAGGTGCTAGATATGTTATCTCAACATTTCATTTCAGGTTTATTATAATTCTGTAAATTAGCAAAATGTCATTCCAATTTGTGCTTCAAAAACAACTAAAAAATTATGTAACTCAACCACTGTCATACAGCTGTTGATTGGTAAAAGGGAATTATTTCAGTGAACGTCACTAAACATTCACTAAGTGTCTCTTCTATGCTAGACACTTTATAAGGTGAACATAGTCTCTAACCTGAAGAATTTCATGGTCTAATAGAAGAGACAGGCAGTAGACAGAAAATTTCAGTACTATATGGTCTTCCTGAATTCAGAGACCATAGTTTCTCAATGCTTTAAAGTTAGCATCAGTAACTAATAAAATCTGACTAATAACTATTATACATACTGTATGTTATTTAAATTGTGAACTTGTATTTGTTTTCATTAATGTTAGAATGAAAGGAAAACCACTTCTAGATATATGACTTCATCAGTTCCCCATTCTGAGCCTTAGTTTCATAATTTTCATAAGGCTGTTGAGAGGACCAAACTGGTTTAAACAACTAAAAGGGCTTTGAAATCTACACAGCACAAAAAGAATAAATGTAGTTTCAATGCTATCCTGCCATAGGTCAAATGACCTAAATTTCTAAAATACAGAATTTCAGTAGGTTGTGGTATGACATTTATTTAATCTATAAATTCCACTGAGTGTATTTATTTAAATTTAGTTAACAACCTGACCGCAGTGTATACAATGCATTCCTAATTCAGACCCTAAAACAATAAAAATGACCACTATGTGAAATAAATTAGATCTGTCCCAAGAATAAGAAAATCAAAGTACATTCTGTTACTCAAACAAATAAAAATAGCCATGGAGGAAAAAAATCCCTTTGCTTTGAGATGTGATATGCAAATTGTTTTACAGCCAGAGCCTAAGCCTTTCAGCTGCTGTAACTATCACAGAAATCTTAGCGTTTTTTTGTCCATTCTATTCATCAGTATGATAACCAATCCAATTATTGTACTCCCTGATAAACAAGTGGATTCCTTTAACTGTTACTGTGAAAAGTCTACTCTGAGTATCGCAGCTCTTTTAGAATTTGTCTGGCAGGCTTTCCGGTCTTTACTGGAAGACCCCCTAACCCCATAAAAAAAGAAAAAAGAAAAAAAGAAAAGTCTACTCTGAAGAATTCCCTGCAATCTATCAGACATACCCCAGAGTTCCCCACTGCCATGCAGGAAATAATGCTGGTCATTATTTTTGGAGGACTTCACCTCTCTTTAGTATAGCAGCATTACTGAGAAATGAGAAATCGGTGCATTTTAATGTTAGAGGAGCCTATCAGAAGCACTGTTTGAAT